AAATTAAATGGTGAGATCAAATAACCGGTGCAGTGAAGAAAATTCCCAAACCAAATGCAGTGCAATTGTGTGCAACAAAAAAAAAAAAATTAGATGTGCAATAATAAATTAAAATGAAAATTCATGCAGTCCTGAAGATAAGGGGAAAAAAATCTCTGAAATAAGTGTTCAAAAAAAGAATAATTCTGAATGCAGGAATGTTTTGGATTGAAATTTGCCAGCCTATTATCCAGTTTTGGAATAAGTATGAAGTGTATAGTGACTACTTTATGAATTAATTGCTTAAGTGAAATGACGTGTGTTTAAAGGATTAGATAAGGAAGAAAAAAATGTGAAAAATAGTTGGAAGTAACAGAGATATGAAAAAAGTGTGGTGAAAAAAAATCATAGTAGTTTAAAGAAAGTACTTTTTTTTAATAGTAATAATTTTCTAGTCATTTTTCGCTTCTGACAAGAAAGTGATAGATTTGCATAACAAGTGCATAATTCTAATGTCTCCACTTAACTTTTATCTACTATTTATGTACTATTTTTTCCCTCATTTAGAGTAGATATGTTTGCCCATCATCCAGTTCACACCCCTGCCCAGTCTTCAGAACAAGAGTGGTGGTTTATCCCTTATTTCGTGTTTAGGATTGGGCTTCCAGTTCCTTCTAAAGCCTTTTCTTGTCTTTCACTTTCAGTGGCCCCTTGTGTCTTGGAGGCATTATCACCTTGCTTGTGGTGATGCCTCTTACTATATAACCCTCTACTTCAAGTGGCTCTTGGGCTTTGTACAGAGTGAACATCATTGTTAAAAAAAGAAAGAAAGTGTAAAAAAATAAATTATTCAATGAGAAATATGTGCACTTGATCATGTAACTGCGTTGTTGTAAGTTATTTTGTTTAAAAGACTGAAATATATACTGAGAAATCTTTATTTTTCCATTATTATTAAGAAAATATATATATTTTTATGACTTTAAATAAGTGAATATTTTTGGATATTTTAAAAATTTTATTGCATAATTAATATTTTCTGGTGTTAAAGACTTCTTTTTTTCTGAAAATAATTCTTTAAAATTTACCCTACATTCTATAACATGGTGGTTACTATTTTTATTTAATTTTTATACTTATTCTTTTTTTTTTCCAAATTTTCCTTCACATCAATAAAATCCAAAGGGAATGAAGATTATTTGACCCTGTGTATGATGCTGGGATTATAAGCTCTAGTTTTTTCCATCTTATATTTGGGGTATACTTTCTACATGCAATATCATTCCAGAAAAAAGTCAGTGCTGTTTTTCTATTTTTTTTTTATTGCTCAAGCTCTCTTTTATGGTTTAAATATCAAGGTGGCAACTAGTTTAAGAGAAATTCACACTGTGGAGAAGGCAATGGGGAAATCTATCCGTTAGTTTTCCCCAAGTTTTATCATGACAATTAACAGATAAAGAAAATGAATCTGCGAAGAAACATGAACAACTATGTCCTAAAGGGACATGATATAAAAAAAAAATGTTACAATTGTTCGGATATGATTTTTTTGTTTTTTATAGTGAAAGAGATAATCACCTATCTCGAAAAAGAGTGTGTGTTTTGTGTGCAATCTGCCGAAGAAAGATTACTGAAAGTAGTTAGCAAAAATCTGCTACTTTAAGTATCAGAATCTATGTGAATGTTCTTTCCTCCCACACACATTCATTCTGATGTGGCAATAACTTAGTGGATTAAAGCATTGGTTTGCGAATTTGGTGTATTTAGTAATCGTGAGTTCAATCCCTGGGTCAGGCTGTGTATATTTGAACTCAGTTGAAATAGGGTGAGCAATAACTAAGAACTCAACAAGATATTTCTGGACCTGGACAGTGGAACAAGAACAATCTACCCCTATAGGGTAAAATATATACATAAATAGTTCAGTTTGAAATTCCTTGACAGTTACCCAGATTGTCAATCATCTGGATGCTGAAGGGCACAATGGCTGATACATTGTGATAACAACAACAAAAATGGGGACAATAGTTCATATGTAAATAATTAATTTGATAAAATATGCATTTGAAAAAGGACTAAAAAAAAATAAATGAATGTTATATTTTCGTAACTGATTAAATTGCAATAGTGGTGCAAAGTGCTAACAGAGCATTTCAAACACTACATGTGAATGTGGGTGCTTGACAGATAAGCAAAAAACAATTTTGATATTGATGGAAAGTGTTAGATAGAGATGCATTTGTCTACTAGTGTATAAAGTAATCCTTGTGCAGTCATTACCATGCAATATGTAATATTACTGAACCAGAAAAAAGTGTACTATTGGTAACTGAAAGGAATTGACCTTAGAATGAAAATTGTAAAACATTTTTTTCTATTGTGCAATATTTCTTTTGATTATGCAAAGTTTGAAAAATAACTGAACAAATAGTACAAAAAAATACTAATCTCTCATAAGTGAGTAACAGTTGCCAAATATTACTACTAAGCCCAATGGTACTTACTATTTTTTAAAACTTTCTAGCTTGTCAAAAATGATGTCGTATACGAAAATGATATTTTGTTAAGTTTGTAGGGGACTTATTAACTCCCCTACAAACTTAATAAATCATTTCCGATAATTTTGTAGCAAACTGTCACAAATTCATAGAGCCATAAGTTCAAATAACTGCAAAGCCACTCTTCCATTTCATTGGCTTCCTCCCCTTTTGTTCAGTGCCACTGACTGTATATATCCTTGAAGGTAGGTACACTAATCCATAGCCAGCACATCCAGGTTATTCTATAAACTGTATAGGTGGTACATCCAGGCTATTTCATCAACTGTTTTCTGCTATAAACAGTGGAATGAATCTGCCCTGGTTTTTCTTTACATCATAGAGCCAAAGGTTTTATGATATAAAGAAGCAGGCACATGACCTCAGCCATTTTGCAGCTAAGTGGATTTCTTCTGCACATATTTCTTGAGTGATAAAATTTGGGGGTTCTTTCAGTTTGTTTTCTTCTGTTCATTTTCTGTCATTTATCTCCAGCTTATATAATATATTTTCCCAATTATTATATGAATATCTAGTATTTCTGGAGGATCAGTTTATTACTTAATAACAATAGAAAACTGATTCTCTACTTTATGTCCATTCTTCTTTTATACACCATTTTCTTTCAGGATGTTGGCAATCATGGCTCTCCACAATTTCCTGTCCTTTGTAACTCTTAATAAATTTTGTTTTTTTGTTATCTCTACTAAACCTTGCTCCACCATCCATTTACTGAAGCTTGCTAGTTAGGTTATGTGCTGTTTTCCTCTGTTCTTCTTACCTTAAATCTATCCTGTGAGTATCAAAATTTCCAAGTTCTCTTTCCTCATTATGTGCCCTAGAAATTTCAACTGTCTCTTCCTGGTGTTAAATATAAATGTCCTTTTTGTTTTCATTTTCTCTCAAACATTGTCAATGCTACCATGTTCAGTCCATTGTATTCTCAGCATCCTTCTGTAGAACCACAGTTCTAGTGCTTCAAGTCTCTTTTCATCTGTGTAGAGACAGTCCAGCATTCACTACCATATAGGAGGACCAATTAATACAATTTACACATGCTGTCAAAAATTACGATCTATTTGTTAAGTTCTTACAGTTATTATACTTGCATGTGTGAGTTTTATTTTTCCAATTATTATTGTTTTATTTTGTTGGTTCCAATTGGTGTAGGAATGACTGTTTCTTCCTAGCCAATAAAATAAAACACTTCTTGGTCTCATCTGCTATATTTCTGTTCTTTCTTGTCTTGAAGTAAGAACTCTGCAATCACTAGTCTGTATCCCTTTTGTGTGTTAACACCATTCTTAGTTTGTGAAATTTTTGCCTCATTACTGTTGCCTTTTCTACTTTTGTCTTGGATATGTTTGCTTAGTACTATTTTTTTCCTGTTCTTTTCATTCTTTGGTTATTGTTTACTTACTGCAAACTTTGTGGATTCTGTTTGTTGGGCATTTCTGACAATTACATTTAACCATGTCCAATTACAGAACATATTCTTCTTTTGTGAGTTAATTTTTTCATCCCTGACGTTGTAAACATCTTTGTACAGTCAGCTATTGTCTGGTGAAGTTTTTTAATGTTTTGGATGCCAATTTAGTAATTAAAAATACAGAATATTTTTATTTTTTTTTAAACTAATTATAATTTAAGTTTTAAAAGCTGAAAAATTGAAATACTGTTCCATATATATACTAATTCAGTATCTGGTAGCTATAATTAATGGTATCTACAAATTCAATATCTGGTAGCTATAATTAATGGTATCTACAAATTCAGTATCTGGTAGCTATAATTAATGGTATCTACAAATTCAGTATCTGGTAGCTATAATTAATGGTATCTACAAATTCAGTATCAGGTAGCTATAGCCTAAGGGAACTTGAAAATGTGTTTTCATACTAACCTCATATTTTTTGACTGAATTCATATACTGGGGATGGAAATTGAGTTAATTCTGCTTTCTGGATGATTTAGAGCTTATGTTAAATATTGGCAAAAAATGTTCAGTAATTTTACATTGAATGAATGACAGAAGTAATGATTGAACAAGGAGAACTTATATAAAAATGTCAAAATAACAGGTTTTGTAATGTTTTCAAATGGTGAGTAAGTGGTGGGTATTTAAAAAAAATCCCCTATAAATCACTAATATTCCCAACTATACTTTTATGCCCTGATTACTAAATTTATTATCAGGATTGCATCCTAAATATTTAAATACCATTTGCTAAATTGTTTCCGTAGGATTATTAAAAGTACCACCACCATTATTACCATTTTATTACCATTTATACCATCCGAAGAAAAAAATATATTTAAACCTTTTTTTTTTTTATTTAAGAAAAAACAAAAACAAAAAACCTTATCACCACAGAAAAAAAAGGTAAATTTAGCAGCAAAAATATTTTAAAGGAATTCAAATCATTTTTGTGGGATAATATTTGGAAATATTTTATATATTTGTTTTTGTTCTGAATCACTTACGACAATCAAGTTCATCAGAGGTATCCGGGCAGTTGACAACCCCATCACATTTAAGGCGCTCGTCAATACATAGACCCCCTTCACATCTAAATTGACCGGGCTGGCATGGTACGGATTCTTAAAATGTTGCAACAACAGCAGCAGAGACAGAAAAAAAGAGTTGTCCGGTGTTAACGTTAAAGGAAAAGAATCAAGTTAATCAACAAAACAGTTTGACATCTTTCGTTTTTTGTTTCTTTTTTCATTGCTAACAAATTAAAAAGGATATCTTTTAAATGTTAGTGAAATATAAGGAAAGAAGATAAAAAAGGGTCAACATAATGTTTGTTACTTATTAAATCATTTGTACTATTTACATAAGGTTTATTAATACAAATAAACTGCAGTTTAATTTGGTAAAGTAAAGAATGCTGTTTGTTATTAGGTAATGTGCATTGGATTTCATGATATTCATTTTTTAATACCTGATGTCTATTATAATTGACTTATAAAAAACAGTTAAATACTTGTATTTAACTAGTATTGAAAAAAATGTGCCATCTGTTTATTTATATAGGATAGAATTTTCATTTTTATATATTTTTTTCAAATTTACAGTTGCACATATATAAATAATAGTTTGGCTGATGATAGTGGATCCAAGAGTCACTTTGTTTATTTTTTTGCTCTTTTTACATATAGAAAATTAATTTTTAGATATCATGTAAAACACTTATTTTAAATAGAATAAAAGGTAATTTCAAGTCATAAAATACATGAAGGAGTGCTAAAAGATTTCCAGTCAAACTGATAAAAGATCCCTACAAAAACTCTAATTATAGTTTGATTTTGGAAAGTGTGTTGGGCAAAGAAATTTTCAGCATTCCCTTATGTGCATGACTGTGATTTCATATATATATATATATATATATATATATATATATATATATATATATATATATATATATATATTTTGAGAGAGGATTGAATGACAATGTGGAAAAAGTTTACTTGTGACGCATTTCATCCTTCAGGACTTCATTGACTAAACACATCACAGGTAAACTTTTTCCACTTTGTCATACAATTTCCCCAATATTATTCTTGATATATATATGTATATATATACACTGTTCAGTGTGTGTATCTGGTTGAAGCTCTGAAAATTAATATTTAAAATTGTTTTTTGTGTGTGCAAAATATTATGTAAAACTGTGATATTGAATCAATGTGGTTTTATTATTTTTGTCAAGTGTCTTATATCTTTCCCAACTTAGCATTTTTTGATTAATGGAGATAACTAATTTGTATATTAAGATTTAAATATCAAATTAAAAAAAAAGTGTTTTGTTATTTAATTCCAATTTGGCCTTTTGTGATCTTTATAAATAAGCAATTCTTTTGTTGATGGTGTTTATAATATAATATATTGTTTAGTTATTCAAACAAAGTCATTTTCTGCCCTGATAATTTGAATTTTCATCAGGATCTCAATCTAAACTCATATTTTCAATTTTCGTTTAGACTAATAGCTTTGGACAAATTACAATTGATTTCAAAAAGAAAACGTCAAAGTAAAACTTTGCAAATAATTTTTTTTCAGATATTTTTAGATTAATTGTTAATATTCAGTGACATTTTTTTTTACTGATGGGTACTTTTCTTTCTTCTTTATACAATGAAATCATCAAGATGTGAAAGAAACAACAACAAAGATGATAACTGTGCTTATCTATAAATATCTATATTAAGAGTATCCAATTGCATTATGATTGTCAAAGATTTGTTAATTTATAATAAAATAAAGCTTCTATTTAAACAAATAATTTAATTACTAATATAAGAAAATATAGTAGATACAGACTCCATTAACAGGTCTAATTCTGGTCTCCTTATATGAAGCAAAGTCAGCATAATTTTTAGTATCTTAGTAAAGTTCAAACTATCAATAATTTGTATGATCAATGTTTGCTTACATAACCTAATGATGAAAAAAAAGTATGTTTTACATAAATATTTATTTTTCAAAATGACCTTGTCAATGCACATAATTTAGTAGTGAATATTTACCACAGATCCTGATCAAACATTATACAACAAAAATTTCAGATCAAAATGTCAAATTGCAGATTTTTAAATTCACTTTCATGTATGTTTAAAAAAATCTTATTCTTAATTCAGAGCCATATAAATAAAGAAAGCTTTTCAAACTGACTTAAGTTAGATAAAAGGTCATAATAAATTCTCTATTGAAAACTAAAGTCATTCTTGAAAAATGAGTATGTTAACCCTTATTATTGTAGTGTTTCATTAATTAGAATTATTTATTCATTATATAAATATTTAATACCTCAATCTTTTTTAAATGTTGGTAAGTAAAAGACTCAAACTATTTAAGAGTTAAAGACAAATTGATGTGAGTTGAAACTTTAAAATTTCAAGAGAAAAATCATTAAAAATAAAACAATTCTTATTTTTTCTTCCAGAAGAGTGTTAAAAAAAAAAAAAAAAAAATTGTTATATCTTCTTTCATTAGATTTCAATAGCATTTAAAAAATTTCCATTGGAAATAGCAAATATAAAAAGCATTGTCAAAACTCTGTTTGTTAAGAAGAAAATGAGACAACAGAAAAATGCAAAATTTTGTACAGCAATGCTGTCATAAAAAAAAACAAAAAAAAAAAAACTAAAAAACAATATCAGTAATTTTTGAATTTGATTTAAACTTGTTGATATATTTAAGATTTGTAAAGTGTTATGGTTTAATTGTATTTGGTTGGATAAAAATTATCTGTTTTTATTATTAGAGGACATTAGAAGCATTTAGTTTTAACTAATTTCATTAAAAAAAAAAAAAAAAGACTACTTTTGATTGCATTCTAACAAATGTTGCATCAACATGCCTTTAAAAACACGTTTAAAATTGGCATATTTGAGTATATTGTTTCTAAAGATGGAGAGAAGATAGATGTAGGCTTTGTTTTAGAGAAGGAATAAGCATTTCTGCTTTTTTATTTTAAGGTACAAATGTGAAAAAGAAAAAAACTTGTAGGGTTTATGGAGAAGATTCTGTGATATGATTGAACATATCAAAAGAGGTTTGTGAAATTTTATGCTGAAATTTTCTTGCTGAACAATGATTCACTGTCAGGGAGACTAATTGAGGTTGATAATAATTAAACAAAGATATTACTTTCAAATAATCAATTTTATATGACGTGAAAGATAGCCAATGTAAATAAAATATCTAAGTGCTGAAAATCATCAGTATATGCTTATGTTAGCAGTTTTGATGTATGACTCCCACATAAAAAAAAAAATAAAAAAAAAAAATAATAATTCCTAACAGACTGTATGGAACTACTTAAAAACTGTTCCACGTGTTAAAAAAAATAGAGAAATTATATTCAGGGAATAATTATTGCAGATTAGCATCTCTTAGTCATTCCTCAAGTCATAGCATTTATCAGAATAAAAAAATATTGACCTTTTATTGATGCAGAAGAAGGATCCTGTTCATAATATCTATGCAGTATAAAATTAATTCCCGACATTTTACAGAGTTATAGGACCAAGCTTTTTTTACAAATGCTAAGTTTGAAACTGTACTTATGTGATTGATATCTGCATATTTATTTTTTTCTTTTAATTTTCTGAATTTTTCATAACTCTTTTGTGGAAAGAGGTTCTGAAGTACATTTTCAAATATTAGGGAATAATAATTATTTATTTTAGATGAAGAATAAACGGACATATGCATTTTATTAATTTATGTAATTCTTTGTTTAATTAAAAATCCGTTTCTTGTTTTATTTTTATTTAATAAACCGTACAACATGTTTATGTTAATCAATATTTACGCTGTGACAAAATTTAAGAAAAATGTAAGGGAAGTAACTCTAATTTACTGTTGACGTAATACGCATCTAAAAAATGTTTTTCATTAACATTGGTTTTAACTGTGGAGCAATCAAGTATATTGCTGACTTTTATTTATTCATGTTTTGATATTGTAATAATTCTTAAGTATTTTTTAAGCACTAAGGTAATCAGAATAAAAGAAAAATGCATTTTTTGTTGAATTCATTGACTTAATGGTAAAAATTATATTAAAAACAATCAAAATGATTAAACGAAAAGAAATCAGTAATGAAGAACAAAGGATTAAATAAAAGAAAAAAGAAATATAACACACATCAATATTAATCAAAATTTGTGAAGGTAACAGATATTATATGGTATACTGTTAACTAAAATTACAATTAATTAATGAATGACAGCACAAAATACCAATTTTTTGAGTGTTTAAATCTGCAATCATGATAATATATCTTATTAAATGAAACATTAATTTTTGAGTTTTATTTCTTTCATTTTAATTTCAGTTGCTTTTCATTACAACTGCTTATACTGGCAGTTTATGGCAGTTAGTGTACAGTACTGATTCAAAATAAAGAATAAATTTCAGGTGAGATTTCAACTCTCATCCCTTTTGCCTCGGCTATTCTCCTGATTGACATACGGAAAATCACATCTAACCCTTAACTGATTCTATATCCCATTCACTTCTGATCTCTTGGCACAATATTTGCTATTGTTTTATGTGCACTCATAGTATCAATAGTAACAATAATATCTGGATTCTATTTATTAGACTAATATTAACATTATATTCAATTCCAACTTTTAGATATGGTAATACTTAGCTCAGTGTACTCCAATTATATCAATATATGAATAAGCTTTTCACTTTTTATGTGAAAAATATATTATCGTACTTTGTCGGAAGTCTAATACTTTAATTCAAATAGAAATGTCCTCTTTGACATCCATAGCTCATATGACAAAAATAAACCTTTAATTTTATCCACTTCTGGAATACTGTGCAAAAATACCAGGGTCATAAACAAACATCTGACTAATCCGAAAAAGAATCATGCAGTTGTTTCTGAGCCACTGACTCATTATAAAGCCAAAATTGATTTCACCCATAAAGGCAGATGTGACTTGGCAGGCATTGGCAACAGACCTCATGGCAGACAACTTAATCAAATGCAGCAGACTACACAACAGCCCAGGTCATCAGCAGTAACACCATAGCACTCCATTCAGCAGTGGGAAAACCTGCAACTTTTGAC